CGTGACGGAGACACCTTCTATATGTAACGTTCTTTTAACCATTCTTATATGCTCCTTTCTTTCCCACGCATCTCACTCAAGTTGGTGTCTGGAGAGTCTCTCAGTGGTTTGGGCTTGATGCAAGCAATAGTGCATCTTAGCACGAAGTGTGATGAAGGCCTGGTGAATGTGCTGCGTGAGATGAGCGAGTTCGCAGAATCAACATTGCTTCTGATTAGATGCAGAGGCAATACCGGCTAGACCATATGAACAGCAAACAAAAATTAATGCTACCACATCTTCATCCCTCACTCGGTTATACATCTAAGTGTTGATGCAAGCCGGCGTATAATTTGTAGCAAGCGATCAAAGTGGATGTCCACATTGCCATTCTCGCCTCTCAGTTTATCAACCAAATCTGCTTAATGAGGTGAAAGATGGCATCCAGACTTCTACAACTTTTTTCAAACGAAGTCGAAGTAACTGCCACTTTGTCGATAACGGGAAATGCAGACCGCGGCGTAGCTGTCTAAAATATTCACCCTGGATTTGGATGACCCACTTAATCTCATTTGCGATTGAACTAAGGCGCCAGCGTCTTGCATTTTGTCGACTGAGACTTAACTGATGTACCTTATGATCGTTACACCACCTACACCAGAATAAGAAAAGGGTTGAGAGATTTGCAGATGGAGTACTGCACCAGATGTTTGCTACCTTGAGCACGCTGACCCGAAAGCCTGTACTACATACTTCTGCTAATGAATTTCATTATCTAGGCGAAGTCTCCCACCTCCAATAATGTGGCCTTCCTTCTTTTTAGGTTCCACCCAAACTGGTGGCCTAGGCGCCTCTCAGCGTCTTGCGAATGATGCATATAACAACGCATTTTGACGCGTAATGCGATAAAGGCGTACAGAAGGTGCTGAAGTAGAGGAGCACATTTGTAGACCCACCATTGTGTCTGCTCAGAGGTGGAAGCAATATAAGCTAGACTGGGCAAAAGTGGACCAACTATAATATTTCTACTTCTTCTCTTACTTAGTCAGGACCTAAACACTTAACCTTGGCAGTTAGATCCTCTCCTCTGTCTCCCAATGCCTGTATGCATGCTTGGGATTAGGAATCCTCAATTAGACATTTGAATAACATTTAGCGACTCTTTTGAAACGATGTGACGAGGTAAAGGGGAACATTAACATGTGGGCATAAACACTCAGATCACCACTACTTGCTCTAGACATCTGCCTACGTCTTCAAAATGTGTCATCGCAGTGAATTGTCAAATGTTCCCTTTAGTATAAGGACACTGAACATGGACAGGTCAATTCACGTGCGCCACTAATTATGGCTCTTCATGTTTGCTTACAGTCTATTATTCCTGTGAAGTTAGTAAGTTCAAAAGAAAAGCGAACAGGACCTAGCAGCCATCTATCAACTTCAAACATCACTGTGCCGAGGCTTGATGAATTCAAAGAATGATGAAATTTCAATGTGAGATGACGGTTAGCATGTTCTGGTGCACGTTATAACAAATGCCCACCAAAATCCTGCTTTATGTCAAGAGGTTAAATCAGCAGTTAAGTTCTGTGAAGTGAACGTGAAGCCACTAGCACTTCGCATAATTCTGACCCTTCTCTAGACATCGATGCGTCATTTCGCCACTGTGCTCTCTAAGTGTCCACTAAGAGGGGCAATGACATGCCGACACACGTCTAAAGCAGCAAGAGATTGCTAGGTATCCGATTCGAAGTCGAATAGCCGAGATGACCTCAAAGACAACCTAGTGACTTGTCTGAACAAACACATCCACCATAGAGTGCATGTTTGTGGAAGTCGGAAAGAAGTCTGTTCACCCACACTGGCGCAGCTTCTAATACACTGCCGCAATCTTCCATGAGACATCCGAACAAAGTGGGTGACTATAGATGCCCGAGAGCAAGCATGTAGCTAGCAACGCCTCCGATAGACTAGTGAGTACACTTTCCTTTTATTCATCTCGAAGGTAGAAATTTACTGCTGCTGCATTAGGTAGAAACTCGATCTTATTCGTAATGGAAGGGGAATACGACCCCCGGTGACCCCAAAATCCGTAGTTGCCAGGAGAGATTTTCAAGCATTACGTTATCTGTCAACTAAGAGTTGTCAAACATCCTCCATGATTGCTGCAACACACATAGTGAAATAGCAGGAATGAGGTGTTTGCAGACAAATCACTCGTCAAGAGGACTGCCCACCTTGATGATGGCGACGAAGTGGTGGCTACATAATGTGCACAGATAAATGGATTACATCATCCTACGTGGAGTCTCCTACTTTAAATAGGGCGGCTTTACTTGTTACTTGTTTCACCCAGACTATTAGTCGAGGAACTTCTTTGCCTACCAAAGTTGATGGAAATAATGCAGGTTGACACGAGGTGTGATAAAGTTATGCTGAGTATGCGGCAGCCAAAGGGCAAGTTTGCCAAAGATGCCACCAAATCTGAACCAAGTACTTGCCACCTAGGCCAAACGAACAAACGAACGGTAGAAATTGCTTACAACTAGAGCACCTGATACTGGGAGCTAGATTCCTCTCTCATTTTCTCCCAATGTTTCGCGTGCTTGGCTTAACGCTTTTCTAGTGAGGAGCTTTAACTGATTCCATAACTGTACTTTGATGCATTGATAAATGAATGAGCTGGAGATAGAGGAAAGTCAATAACCTAATGAAATCATTCATTTCACCTACATATATATGATGGAACTTCTATCATCTGTCTGCACCGTGACGATGAGTAGTCTTTACAGAGGAAATAAATTACAATGCTACTGTCTCACTTCTAAGCGAGTCCTAATTTGGACACCAGTAATTTGCCTGCAAAAGGTTAAATAGTACTGTCCTATCTTTCTCAAAACGAAACAGAAACATAATACTGCCATGTTTTAGTGGATTTCTCAGAGAGAGAGAGAGAGGGCATATCGGAGTTGGTAATGAAAACTCACACCTGGACACCCGTTCATGGAGGTCTTTGCTACCTAACCATACATATGGTCTGCTCAGAAGTGAGCACAAAATTAGCTCGCTACTGTAGAAAGACGATGAATTCACTTTGAAACTCACAATCCGCCATTTTGGCACCGTACAACCCACATAATTTTCCTAACTACTAACATACAATTCAACCACGCTTTGCGAAACATCTGTACAACGAGACGTCATTTTCAGGCTCGACCGCAGTTTCGACAACGTTTGCCCTCTTCGTGAACCCTCTATCTGGTAATTCCATTTGCTTCATTGTAATGTACTCACATTTCATCTGAACGACATCAGTAAGCAACTTGTTGCCTCGGCATTAACAATGACATCCACGTACTCACAACAGAGCCTTCAAATTCTATGCCATCAAAACCATCTTTTTGATGTCATTGTGACCCATTGGAGTGGAGTGGCTTTTTGAATGTACATGTTTGACATGCTTGCGGCCACTATCACATCAATGACGTTGGTTCCTCTTTGTGTCTCTTTCCATGCAACAGTCGTCCGACAAAATAATCATGAAAAGATGGCTACCTTATTTCTTCTAACACATTAAGCACCGTTTTTCAACCTGTAAGCTCCCGAATCGGACAAGGATGATTTAAAGTTGGTGTTACATGACAACTCGTCCTCATTAAATTTCTTGATAAAAGGGCAAAATATTTCAGTTAAGTGTGAAGTGTAATGCTTTAGTCATCAGACAAAGAGAAATATTTAAAGGACCCGCTTTGTTGAGTAACCCTTGCTCGAAGACAATACCTTGAATGGAGCAGTGTAGATTATTGAACAAACAAAATGAAGGGAAGAGTGTAAGAGGCCCAGCAAATTGGCCATGTGAATGGAGTGGATTTTGCGAACGCTAGTCACGGAGGTACTGACAATGGTGACAAAAGGGAAATAGGTAATTAATTGGCTCCATTTAAAACAATACATTGCGCTGAAACGGAAATACACAAAATTGTATTCCATCGTCTTTGCCGTGGCGCTTCCTCAGATGTGCTTCACGTTCAAAAAACTGGTAGGCTACATACACGCGGCTTACTGATTTATGCAGGCACACGCCGTGAATGCAGGTGGGTTCAGCTTGATTTATGTGGCAAAGCACATTTGTTGAAGATGTAACTCTGTTGCTTAGGAGGACCTTTCCACTCAAGGAAGTGATAAGGCCACATCATAAGCATAGAATGGTTTCTTCTCTAAGACTACTCATTTAAAATGACTTTCTTTGCAAACACTGCATTCTGGCGCATCTCACGCTCTGCCACCACCGGTCACTTTTTATCCACTCCCACAGTTTCCAACTCAAAGAATCATCCAACTATGAGCTACGCAAAAACGGCTGTCTCGATTTCTTCGCTCCCGCCATGACCGTGGGTTATGCAGGATTTCACTCCTC